ATGGATGTTGTTATTTCTTATATTTACTTAATTTGCTTCATGAGGGGAGAAAAAAAAAAAGAAAAAAAAAATGATTTTGTGCCTTTGTATATGTACACGAGAGAATGGAGTAGCCAAACAAAACATGCTAATTTAAGTAGACCAATTGATTGATGATTACATCAATCTTGTTATCTAAAATCCAATCATTCTTAATGTTACCCTAATCATACAAACAACATCAATGTGTAGGTGGTTATTTTGACCATATTGATGAAGGTAAAATTTCGAGCGAGGTAAATGAGATGTCTGTAAAGGTTAATTTTGTAACGGTTGATTCGACTCTTCTGATACTGGTAGAGTTTCCGGCCAACTAACTGAGATGCCTGTAAAAGGTTAATTCGACCCTATTGATATGGACAGAATATCGAGTTGTCAGGTCATGTGGACAAACCTTTGCCTTGTCAAATTATACGTATATATACAATAATGTTCACCTACTCACGGTGGGCACATGTTAATATGCCTACCAGTTATGTGGCATGCACACATTGGTGATGTTAATATGTTCAAAAAATTATATCACCAATATGTGCACGCCGCATAACCGATTGGCATATTAAAATGTGTCCACCGTGGGTAGGGGAACATTGCTCCGTGTATATATATATATGCACAATGTGCGAATGTATATTCATCCAACTTTTAAATTTTGAGTGAAATTTATCGTAAAAAAAAAAAAAAAAGAGTATGAAAATAGTGATGCAATATTATCAATGGCCATAATGACACCTCTTTTTACTATGTCACACCTTGTTTTTTTGTGCTCTCATATGATATATTAATAAATATTGCATCATGCTCGTCCATAAACCCTATGCTATAGAAAAAAGACAAATAGGTATTAATCACAACCCAACAAAATTATATCGAATCCCAAACACAATGAAAGTTTAATTTTTACACATTCCACACACATCTCAAGGATCCATTTTTTAGAGATTTATGTATTTATTAGTACCGCATTAAGTTCAATTACTTCTTGTGCATTAGCCATATAGTCAATTATAGGTCATGGATCTTTGTTTAATTGCTTTAGCACGTTTTTATGATGGTAATATAGATATACGGTTTGCCATAAAGCCAACAGTTAGCTCTATAGTGGAGTCAGTCTTCTAAGGTTTTGCTACGAAGTCAACACTTGGTTTCTTAGTGGAATCAACCTTCTACATACAACAAATAAACTTATCATATTCTCTGATTACGTAAATAATACTAATATAATTTTATTAATATGGTAGGTTTATTTGTTGTATATAGAAGGTTGGCTCCACTATGGAGTCAACTGTTAGTTTCATAGCAAAACCGGATATATACAAGGCAATTACTTAACATGGAAAGATAATGAGCAATGTGTTATACTAGCATTTATAATCATTAGATTATGATGTAAAAATTTATCTAAAAAATAATAACAATGAATTTAAAGACTACTTATGGAAAATAAAGATCTCTTACTATAATTGAATGCCACATAAATTATATAGATTATTTTGTAAATTGTAGATGACTCTATAAAAAATGATATTCCATAATGTAGAGTAAAACTAATGAATTTAATTTTATTTAAATAAACAAAATTTTCACTACAAATTCTTATATAAATTGATTTAATCAATCAACTCGTCATACTTTTCTTTATATATCAATTTACATTACGATAAAATGATAATACTTTTATTATACTTTTTTTTTTTAAAAGTATTATATATGCATTTGAAAATATGCTTATTATTTAAAAAGTATGACGAACCGTTTATGATTGAGAAACACTAACATAGGCCCTTAATTACATATCTTAGAATCATATTATAATATTTCTTCAAACAATTAAAAGTTAATTTGGTCGAACTATTGCCATTTTTCTTTTATTGGTTTGATTGAAAATAAATTAACTCAAAATTATTTATTTTTCACTATTTTTACTTTAACCCCTATAGTAAGCCATAATTATTCCCAAAACCCATACCATTTTTACTTCCCTTACCGCGTTTTCCCGCAGGACCCAAAAAGGCCAAAAACTCCTCGCAAAACACCATTGTACCTCCCGCTCCCCCAGTTGTACATTTCCTTGCGTGTTCATCACCACCGCCATTGATGAACACCTCCGCCTAAAGAAATTTCCATATTTTTCCCACCCAAAATCTCTCCCCACAAAAACCCTTTTTCCTTTTAAGATCTCTCGATTTCGCAATGCAATCACAGTTGATCCATCTGTTGAGGAAAGAGTATACTTCATCCCCAATCTGACGATTGCTGCGACCATGGGTTGCGGCGGGTCGAAGGCAGAGGATCTGCCGCTGGTGGTCCGCTGCCGCGAGCGGCGGGACCTCATACGCGCCGCCGCCAACCACCGGTACTCCCTCGCAGCCGCTCACATCTCCTACTTCCGGTCGCTCAGGGACGTCGGCGATGCTCTTCGGAGATTCGTTGACGAGGAGCTGGTCACCGCCGCGTCGTCTTCCAACTCCTCCTTCTCCTCGCCGTCCCTGACGCTTCCCAGAGATTCCAAGCAGAAGCACGGCAATGCGGATGAATCTTCTCGGCATCTGCGCGACTTCGACGACGAGGATGAAGATGATGACGAGTCCCACCTGCATATATCGGAGTCCTCTTCAGATGCAGATTTTGACGATGACTTCTTGCATCACCATCATCATCCTCCCAACAATCACTATCCTCCGCAACATAAGCACCAGCAGCAGCAGCACGAATCGGAGCAAGATGCGCATCTACACCACAACCACAAGCATCAAGCCCACAAGGGGAAAAAAAAGGGCTCTGACGGCGAGCCGAGCCATTTTCACAGCGAGGAGGAAAGCTCTCCTCATTACCCTCGAGCTGGCTTCCATGGCTATGGCAATGACCAGGACCGTGAGCCGGAAGCTTCCTTCCATTATCCCGGAGAAGGTAATTTCCGTAGATACGGGTCTGGATTTGGGGATGTATATGGCAACGACCCGTTTTCGGATCTCCCACACTCTCATCCGTTTAATTATCCTCAGCAGCCGGCGTCCACCTCATACGGTGCACCCTATATGGACCAGTGGGACCAACCTGCTGCTCCACCGCCTTGGTACTATTCCAACAATACGAACGTGTTCTACATGAGGAAAGGAGCCCCAGCGGCCCAGACAGTTGTTCACGAGCCTCCTCCCGAGCCAGCCCAAGGGTACTCTGACTTGTACTGGAATCCGGCTTATGGGAATCTTGGATATGGTGCCAATTATGGGTATGCTGCTATAGGAATGAGAAACAATGAAGCTGGCAGAGACAGCAGGCAGAAGGAGGTCCCGCCTCCCCCTTCCCCTAAGGCTTCCGGATGGGATTTCTTCAACCCGTTTGACGGTTTTGAGAACGGGTATGAGGATATCTACTCTGGGAAAAGATATGGGTACAGGTCGAGCTCCAGCAGTCCCGACTCAGCCGAGGTGAGGGAGAGGGAGGGGATTCCTGATCTAGAGGAGGAAACAGAAAGCGAGGTGTATAATAAAGAGGTTCTCAAGGGTAATAATAAAATGAAAGATAAGGGTAAGGGTAAGAATGTCGAAAATAGTTCAAAATCTATGCCGCATCAAGGAGGTGAGAGCAGTTTAGGAAAAGAATCATTCCGTAAAAGTGAGGGCAGGCCGAAACCCGTGCCAGTGCATAATAGCAAGAGCAGCTCAAGATCAGTGCCCTCGTCGAGTAGTTTGGAGAGTGAGAGTGAGAAAAATTCTGTGCCATTACAGCATAAAAAGGGTAGTGCGAAGTTGTCTATGCCCTCTGAGCTTAGTGACAAGAGTGGGAAAAAACCATCGGTTCCACTGCCACAATACAAAACTGGCAGTGAAAAGACTTCTATACCCCCCCAGTATAGTGAGAAGAGTGTGAAAGGGAAACCGTCGATTTCACTGCCGGAGGATGAGGGCAGTTCGAGAATAGAAATGGAGGGGTCTATTAGTAGTTTGTCAGACGAGAATAGTAGTAGTAGTCCTGAGAATGTGGTGTTGGAAAGGGTTAATGAGGGTTATGTAAGGAGGAAAGGGGTGATTTTTGAGGTGGAGGAGGTGTCGAAGCAGGATGGTGAGTCTTCAAAGCTGAGTAGCGTCACCATGATGTCACCTCGTGGGAACCGCGACTTGCGTGAGGTTGTGGCAGAGATTAGGGACGAGTTCGAGATGGCGTCTGCTTATGGGAAGGAGGTGGCTGTGATGCTCGAGGTAGGGAAGGTTCCATATCGGCCTAGCTTTCTGAAAGGTAATATTTATTTTTTTCAATATCTCGTATGTGATATTTTGATGAATGGCTTTATGGGCATAGAGTGGTGTCATGGAGCTGTGACTCATTGTTTTTCCAGAAATATTGCATTGGGAAAGATGGTTTTGAGTTGTGTAGTTGATTGTTGAACAAATTTTGAAATTTCCCTTGTTATTATTAGGTTTGGCGTTTATACAGTTAGGATCTTGGAGGACGTTGGGATTCAATATAGTAAACCACAGCTTAATGAGTGAACTTATGAGTATCTGTGTTTGCTAGTCTATTTGTGTTGCTTGAGATGATTGACTATTTCCTCCCACAAAAGATAACTGTATAGTGAAAGAGATGAGTTATAGTTAGACAGAGGGTCGACTACTACACACCTATTTCAGTGTTTGCATTACTGGCTTAGTTATTATTGTATTTACATATTTTTGGTTCTAGTTAGCATCCACCATTTATTGATTTGTTTTTGTGGAGCTAGATCTTCTCGTGTTTTTTTTCCTATAATCTATTCTCGCCTACAGTGTGTAATCCTTTGTTGATAACAGTAATCCGCTCCCGGATATTGTATCCACTATCACCATCCCTATCATCATGTGATCCTCCATCATTAGAATCTGCAAGATTAGCTTCCAGGACAATGAAGTTGGCAAAATCTTACTTTGATGATGTCGGGAAGAATGTAGACACAAAGGCTTGTAACCTCTCGTCCACTCTGGACAAGCTGTATGCTTGGGAGAAAAAGTTATACAAGGAAGTAAAGGTAAATTGAGTCTGGTTTCCATTTCTTATTGCTATATATTGTGCTCGTTTTTGTTCATTCACTCATGATGAACCTAGATATTCATGATAATTGAGTTTGAGGATTCATGTTCAATTGATCGTTTGTGTAACTGAATTGGTCGATTGATGTTTTAAATATTTTGTGCACATTATAAGCAGTTGAGAACTACTTGGACTATATGCATCCACAAATTGATTTAAGTTGTTCTAATGGACGAGAAAACTTACTGGCATGTTGCATGCAATGGTGATCGTTCAACTGAAAACAATTCTCGGGATATCACATAAAGTTAAAATTTTACTGCCTCACATAATTATGCCAGTCCCCTCTTGCAATTCAAACTTGCTAAGTTTTGGTAGGTGGTTACTTTTATTAGGATGAAGAAAAACTCCGAGTTGTGTATGAGAAGCAGTGCAAGAGGCTAAAAATCTTAGATGAGGAGGGAGCCGAGCCTGTCAAGATTGATTCCACTCGAGCTTCTATAAGGAGATTGCTAACAAAACTCGATGTTAGCGTAAAAGCAATTGATGCTATTTCAATCAGGATACACAAATTAAGAGATGAAGAATTGCAACCGCAGGTTGCTGAATTGATTCACGGGTACAACTACGCTCTTTGCGTGCTCTACTCTCATTTTGTCGATTATAACTGGTTGCACCATTTCTGTTTTTTTTTTTTTAATTATTATTATTAATATTATTATTATTGTTATTGCCTTTATCGAGTCAACACCATTCACAGTAATATGGCTGATGCAGTATTCCCCCTGATTCCTGTTATTATTGGGTTCGGCCATATAATTACTCTACGTCTGAGTTAAACTACCAAATTTAAATTTTCCTGTGTTTTTGCCTTTGTTATTTATCATAAATGCGGATTTTCTTGGATAATAATATGAAGAAACATTACTTTTTATATCAACCAGCTGGTTTCTCTATCAATTCGACACCCCTCTTACTCTTAGTTTGCCCTATATTTCACTCGGTTCTAATTTTTGCTACATCCAAATTTATGTCTCAACTCAACTCTCAAACTAAAATTTTGAAGACC